CGGCAAGAGATGCGAGCCCCGCGCGTGAGAGGCGGGGCGAAGGGGAGGCGACGCGCGGCGGGGAGTGCGGCCCCCTGGGGATGGGGACGCGGCCGCCGCCGCGTCAAACATGGCCGTTGCGCATGTGCAGGAAGAGCGGACGGTGCCGCCCCGGGGTTTTTGTGGAGGCGGCACCGAAGAGTAAGAGCACGGCCCGTGTACAGACCTGTTACTGTAAATAGGAGCGGCTGCAGCGTGTAAATGCAGTGCCGCCTACATGTCATCATGACGGCATGGGGACGGCATCATGCCGCCCTTGCCCGCCGCCGCGCCTTGTCCGCCGCCCTTGCCCGCATGGACGGGACGGGACACCCCCCCCGCTCGCCGTTGCTGTATCCTCTCAAGGTGTGAGGATACGGGGAATGTCATTCCCCGCATCCTCACATAATCCCGCTAACAACCCCCCAAATCCCCAAATCCCCAAATCCCCCGATTCCCCATACCCCCGCTGCCCTTCCACACTACACATTCCCCGCATCCCTCCAACAAAATAACTTTTAACTTTAATCGCGCCGTGGCTGTCACGTGCTGCCGGAGCCAACGCCGCGTGTACGTCAACGCGCCCGCCTGCCAAACGCAGCGCCCAGTCCCGGCCACCACTCTGCCCGCGCCCGCCTTGCCTGCCCACGTGGGACGTTCGACACCCGCCGGCACCAGTGCGGTAGCGCCTGCGCCACCTAAATTGTCGACATTCAACTTTTTTTTTTAAAAAGCGTAAAAAAAAAAAAAAAATCCCCAACTTTCAATTGCTTGCTACAGTACAACTTTCACTTCTCCCGCCGCGCCCTCCCCCCCGTACAGCCCTCGCAAGCAGCCGGCTCCATCCCCACGCCGCAGCGCCGCGACGTAACCGCAGCGCACCGATCCGCGCGCCCGTGCCACCTGCGTGGCTCCGTCGCGCCGCCATCCGCCGCGCGCGCAAGTGCCACCCTGCTTTTACCTAGTTCTTCCTCTACGCCGTCTCCCGAAAAACCGCCCCGCGCCCGCGTCCGCCGTCCCTCCGCGCGCGGGCCTGCCGCGATTGCAGGACGGGACCGAAAAAAAAAAAAAAAAAAACGCACACGCGCGCACACGGACAGCGACTCCGCAGCACACGCGCCGCCGACCGCGCGGAGCAAAAAGCGTATTTTTGTACAGGGCCCCAGCGGGGCCATCCGGCTGTGCTCCGCAGCGCCGCGCCGCGCCGCGCTGCGCCGCGCCGCCTCACGAGGCGTACATGGGCGCGATGCGCGAGGACGCGAGCCGTCTCGGCGCGGGGTTGTCGCCGTCGCGGGGCGGCTTCCGGGACGCCGTCAGCTCGATCTTCCTCTTGAGCGCCCTGTGGAAGAACTGCTCGCGGCTGAGGCGGCGGATGTCCTTCATGTACCGTTCCTGGTCGATCACGTCCTGCACAAACGCGTCATCCACGCGATCCAGCGCGTCCGAGTAGGCGGCGTCGCGCGCGGCGCAGTCCACCACCTGCTCGTCCAGCATGTTCTTGTACCGGAGGCGGTCGTCGATGTGGCTCTCCTCGCCCGTGCTGCCCACGCTGCGCACCCACTCCTCGAGCTCCTTTATCCGCGCCTTGCTCTCGTCGAGCTGGTCCGTCGCCGCCTTGTACTGCATCGCCTTCTCGCGCATCTCGTCCGACATGTTCTTGTCCGACGCCACCAGCTCGTCCTTCTGCTGCAGCAGCACCCCAATCTCCACGGTCGCCTCCTCGTTCATCTCGTTCAGCCGGTCGCGTATCCGCTTAGACAGGCTCATTATCAGCTGCCCGCGCTCCGGGCCCTCGGTCGCGGGCGCCGCTACCGGCGGCCGCGAGTTCACCGGCGGCTGTTGCGTGAACACCCGGATCATCGCCGCCGCCACCCCGTAGAACGTGTACTGCGTCGGGTCCCATTCGGACAGGTAGCGGTTCAGGTACACCCGCCCCTCACTATCCACGTGCGGGTGCCGCTGCCGTAGCACCATGTCTGCCGTCGGCCGCACGTACGGGATGGGCGCCTCGTTGGGGTAGTGCCGCATGCACCAGATGTGGATCGGGATGTGGTACGTCACCGTCCGGTACACAATCGGGATAACCCCGTCCAGCACTAGCAGACGTAGCGATTGGTTGGTGTCGAATACAAAGTACTCCAGTTTTGGTTGCAGCCCGGGGTAGTGGCGGCAGCAGTCGAACACGTCGCGCATGATGCGCGGCTCGCACTCGGGGGGGTAGCATCGCGCTTCGCGCTGTGACGTGGGACGTAGGAAGGAAGAGTTGTTGTTAGCATATAATGAATTATGGAGGGATTGCAAGCGGCGGCGGATGCAAGCGGCGGCGGGCGGCGGGCGGCGGGGGGGAGGGGGGGAGGATGGGGTTTTGAGGCAGTGGGCGACTTACGATGAGGGCTTGAATGTTGCGCATGAGGGCATGCTGCGGGTTCGGCGGGGGCGGTTGCGAAGCCCACATGGCGGCGAACACGAAAGGGGCGGGGGGGGGGGGGGGGGGAGGGGGGAAGGGGTTGGGGGAGGAAGAGGACGTCGGTGGCAGTAAGACCGGAAGGGTGGGGAGGGACAGGTGCGGGCAGGGGGGTCGGTTTGACGAGCATGTTGCCGGCGCTTCTTGGCATGCGGTCATCGCCAACGACATGGTGCGACTTGCTGGACAGGACTGTAATGTACGACTTGCTGGACAGCTGTAATGGTCACATTGCTGGACTTGCGGGCTCGCATGGTCGATGACTCGCCCGAGTATCTTACACGTGGCCAGCAACCTTGCTGCTGGCAGCAGGCAACTCCTTAAAGGTCATCACATCACACGAACGGCCCTCCCTGAGGGCCCTCCCTGAGGGCCGTTCCTAACGAAGAGTTCGCCGTGCCAGCACCCGAGCACCCTGAAACTTGGCATGAATGTATTGGTTGAAAAACTTATTGGAAATGCTTTTACAATAATTATTTCAACCAATAATTTACATTCCCGTTCAAAGTTTCAACTTCAAACCGAAGCAACCCCTCCCCAGCCGGGCCCCAGCCACAGCCCAGAGGCTCTCTCCGGCATCTACGGTATGCCCGCATTCCCAGAGCCTCTGCACGCGCCGCCCCTCGCGCGAGGAGAGGCGAGCACGCCGCGCATCGGAGGAGCCAGCGCCAGTTTCCATCCCCGCCAGTGCCGGTGCGCGCGAGCAAGTGCGCGGCGCGTCTGAGACGCGCGTCAGTTGCGGGCGGGCGTGACGCGCACTTGCGCCCTGCCGTCTGCGCGCGCTCCGCCCCGCGGGAGCTCCCGTCTGCTTCGCCGCGGCCCGAAATATCTCGCCGGCCTCGGTTGCGCCCTGCGCGCCACCAATGCCCCGCAGCAGGTGGCGCCGCGCCGGATCGCCGCCGCCCCGGGAATCGCGCGCGCGCCCGATCTCGCGCTGAAAATCGGAAACTTTCGCCCCGCTGCTGTAAGGTTACCCCCCGCCCCGCGCCTTGCCATAAGAGCGCGAGCGCTCAGTCGCCTTCGCAATCCAGCCCCGCACGAATCACATAATTTTACGCCTCCACGCGCGCGCTCAATCCCCGACCCCGAAATGTCGTCCACGCCCCCCCCCGCCGCCTTCTCGCTCGCCCGCCCGCTTCCAGCAAACTTCGCCCGCTCGCTACCGCATCGCCACTGCGCACGCCGCCGCCCCGCGCTCACCATGGTCGTCACCGCCGCTAAGCCCGCTACCAAGCCCGCGTCCCCGTGCTTTTCGTCCGGCCCGTGCAAGAAGCGCCCGGGCTACTCGTTGGTTGAAGCGCTGTCGGACGCGCCGCTCGGCCGCTCGCATCGAAGCGCGCTGGGAAAGGAAAAGCTCGCAGAGGCTATCCGAAGAACAAAGGATGTGCTCCAGATCCCCGAGGATTACCGCGTCGCCATCGTGCCCGGCAGCGATACCGGCGCCTTCGAGATGGCCATGTGGTCCATGCTCGGGCGCAGGCCCGTGGACTTGTGCTACTGGGAGAGTTTTGGGAAGGGTTGGCTCGTGGATGCCATCAATCATCTCAGGTTGGAAGCCGTTACGGATTTTGCTGCCGCAGAGTATGGGATGCTGCCGAATTTCAGCTCGGTCAATAAAGACCATGATGTCCTCTTTACTTTTAATGGCACTACGTCGGGCGTGCGCGTGGAGGAAGGCTTGGAATTTATCAAGGACGATAGGGCGGGGCTGTCGATTTGCGACGCCACGTCGGCCGTGTTTGCTATGCACGTGCCGTGGGGGAAGGTCGATGTGCTCACCTTCTCGTGGCAAAAGGTGCTCGGGGGGGAAGCTGCGCACGGCATGTTGGTGCTATCGCCCAGAGCCGTGGAGCGCTTGGAGAGTTACGTGCCGCCCCGCCCGTTGCCCAAGATATTCCGCATGACGAGGAGAGGCAGGCTGGACGAAGGGTTGTTCGAGGGCAACGTCATCAACACCGTATCCATGATGTGCGTGGAGGACTACCTGGACGCCCTGAAGTGGTGCGATAAGGTTGGCGGCTTGGACGGGCTCGTCAAGCGCTCCATGGACAATCTCGCCGTGCTGGAGGCTTTTGTGGACAAGAACGACTGGATCGACTTCTTGGCCAAGGACCCAAAGTCCCGCTCCAACACCTCGGTCTGCTTGACTCTCGACTTGCCAAAGGACAAGGTCAAGAAAATGGTAGAGATGCTCGCCGCCGAGGAGGTCGCATATGACATCAACTCGTATCGCGACGCACCGCCAGGCCTCAGGATTTGGTGCGGCGCCACCGTCGAAGCCGCCGATTTGCAAGCACTCACACAGTGGATCGAGTGGGCGTACAATATTCTCGCAGATAAGTAAGTATCTAGTGTCTAGGTGACAAATGACCTCATATGAGGTCACTTTTCAACTTATTTTTCTCGACTTGCGCTAGCTCAACAAGATGGAAAAAAGATACTCTCGACACGGCAGTTGACTTCTGCGTTGTGGAAGGGTGGAGTTTGGTGAGATCTGCACGTCTTCTCCAGCCATTTTTGAAATGCCCAAAAAGGAGCCTTTTTTGACCAACCTCAAAACGTTTTATGTTGATACCTTCGAAACCAAAACGCCTGTTTAAAAAGTCAACTCATCATTGATACTTCATTAGATTCTTAGTCTCTCTGTGCATTGACAACCGCCATCCCAATGTTTTGCAATATGTTATTGCCGAGCGCGTATACGTTAAAGAAATGGTGTCCAAACTGAATGTTTTAAAGTTTCGATTTAATTTATATATTTTTGCAAAAAAAAAGCTGGCCTCATATGAGGCCATGACTGACCTCATATGAGGTCAAATTGCTTGTCGTCTAGACACTAGTGTCTACACGACAAGTGACCTCATATGAGGTCACTTTCAACTTGTTTTTCTCGACTTGTGCTAGCTCAACAAGATGGAAAAGGATACTCTCGCCACGGCAGTTGACTTCTGCGTTGCGGAAGGGTGGAGTTTGGTGAGATCTGGACGTCTTTTCCAACCATTTTTAGAATGCCCAAGAAAGGAGTCTTTTTGACCAACCTCAACTGATCATTGAAACTTCATTAGATTCTTAGTCTCTCTGTGTATTGATGTCAATATGTTGTCAACAACTGCCATCCTAACGTTTTGCAAGATGTTATTGCCGAGGGCATATACGGTAAAGAAATGGTGTCCAAACTGACTTTATAAAATTTCGATTTAATGTGTATATTTTTGCAAAAAAAAAGCTGGCCTCATATGAGGTCAAATTGCTGGTCGTCTAGACACTAGATAAGATAGACACCGCTGCCTCGTGCTTCGCACATGTTTGTGTCGAAAAAAAAAAAAAGAGGCTTTTTCGGGGGCTTTGTTCTAGATTTTTGACGAGGTTAGTTTTTTGATCGAGGCTAAAGCCCCCTCTTCTCCTTGCGGCCCGACTGGGACGCAATGTAAGTCGAGGGCGGAAGCGGTCAACTGTAATCTGCCTTCTGCATCTCGACCGATCCGTTTCGAGAGGAGACGAAATTCTCATAAATTGCAGATACTGTATAGAGATCATCTCCAGAGCCTTTTCATCGACTCCAATTGTCGACGTATGTTTGTGGTGTTTCGGTTCGTTTCTTACTTTCTCTTCCACTTTTCTCGCTCCGCTTCCCTTCGCATCCTACTCGGCGGCGTAAGGATCCGCCGTGGGGCGCTGGGCCCTTTGCTTCGGGACGTCCCCGGTCGCGTCCTCCGGAATCAGGCGCCGCCTGTAACGGCCCTTTTCTCGGCCATACCAGATCTTCCCTTCCTCCGGGCACACTCTCACATTGCTTACTCCTACTTGTACCTAGCAGAGTCGGAATCGCCTCTCTCGACGGTGCAACCATGCTAGGGCTCCAAACGACCGCGCCCGGCCCGAACCCCACCTCCTGGCCGAACAAGTCTCTATGGTCACCTCCCTCAATCCCAGGTTGAGGTTGGACGCTATAGGGCCGACTTCTGTGAACAGGATCCTCGCTGCCTGTCTATAATCGCCCTTCAAGCGCTCTTCGGCCAGGCGAGGCAAGGCCCCGTTAATTGCAAGACAAAGCCGATTCCACCCTACCCCGAGTACACGCCTCGATCTTTCGTCAGAGCAGGGGCACTCTACAGTGGTAGCACCCGTATGCTGCCCATTCCCGCTGCGTCGGCCACACGTCCCGCAGCCTTATAAGCCCGGTAGTTCTATGGTCTAGGCAGCCTCCTGATATCCTCGATCTTGGGTCTCTCCTTCTCCTGCGGTGCAGGATGATCTTCTCGTCTGCCCCTGATCCGAGTCTATCCAACCAGACACCTCTGCCTACCTTGGCGACCGCACCTCTAACTTCAGAGGGCGTAGCCTGGCTCTCCTTGCTATGTCCTTAGACATGCTATACACGCGCGCCCTCGGTGGCTTCCGCCTTCTACCAGGGTCGTCGTCGTCTGGGGAACGTCCGAACTCTCCTTGTATGATAGAAAAGCAGATGGCACCCTCCCTGTCAACGTTGACATCGGCCACCGCCTTTGGTACATCGTCGTCTTCACCCGGTTCGCAAATCTTTAGACCGAATCCCTCATCGCTCCAGGCAGGCTGGTCAGGTACACTATGCTTTAGCGGCACTAACTCCTCTGCGGGCAAGAAGCCGTAGGACCCTTCCAGCCCGGTGGTGTCTGAGGCTTCCTCCTGCCGGGGCACGCGGTCATATGTCCCCCCATGGCAGAAATCCGCTTGCCGCCTGGGATTGTTCTCAACTTCCTTTCATCTGGGTCTAACAGCTGTGTGCTGATGATCTGTTCAGTGTGTACTGGTCCTAGACTCTTTCCGTCAGGACCCTCGCACTCCCTAAAAATCTCGAAGAAACAATTCCCTTCGTCAGCTAGGGGCAGCGCGTACGGGCTCAGGGCAAGAGTCCTTATGGCTTCGTCAGGTCCCAACTTAGTTCTCTTGGCCAGCATTCCATAAGAGTCTCTTTCTCCCACAGATCTCAGAGCCTGGGTGACCCTGACACACGCATTCCGATTGGGGTACCTAATAGTCGGAAACGTGTGGACGAACAAGGCCTTGCTGCCGACCACTTCCCTCAACGACTTCTCCATCCTGGCGTCTATGAAGGCACTCCTACTGTCTGTGCCCACGACATATATCCCCGACCTCTGGCACACGGGATCCCTGGTGACACTTTCAGTGTCCACCCATAGAGCTGTGTTAGCCTCGTCGTACACGTCGGTAGCGTACGCGTACAAGTATACTTCGTTATCTAATTCCTCAACCAACAAGGCTCTGTCGCTCCCCCCGTGTAGTTCGTCCCATGTCTGGGCCAAAGTTCCGTCTACGAAGGCGTTGACTGTTTGCTTGTTTCCGTGGAATCCGTCAGCTGGCCACCAACTGGGGCAGAACGCATCTTCTAAGAGCCATGGCAGTGGGTAGACGTCAACGTACGCTTTCGATACAGACCTCCATGCTCCTGAAACGTTAATCGTCGTAGCCCTGTACCCTAACATGTCTCTCCTCCCCAGGGCGGGGATGGGCGTATCAAACATAACAGTGCCCCCCCCCCCCCCCCCCCCGCTAGCAGGGATGCTGGGCTCCTCTGTGAGCGATACTCTCCCCGCCTCGACCATGTTGTAGAATTCGGCGTATATTTGCTTGGCCTCATGTATCAAGCCGAGCCACTCTTTAGTGACTGTTGACGGCCACAGAGACACACCTAAGTCACTGGTCCTACGTATCTCTACTACCATCCCCCGATGGTGTATGCGCAACTGGCCCTCCTCGTTCTCGAAGCACCAATCAGCGTATGCGTCATCTGGCTTAGCGAATTGGCGTGTGAAGCCAAAATCATACACGTCCCACGGAATCGGGCACGAGGCCGTAACGTCCCCTTTCACCCGGCTGGTCCTCCATCGTTCAGCTATCCCCCTACGAGAGATCATGAACGTGGGTATGACGTCTTTGGCGGCGTACTCTGTTCCGAACTCCCCCTCAGTCATGAATTCTATTTCGCGTTCGGAGTTGGAGGAGCTCCTCTCTGACCAGGTGTTCTCCGGGCAGGCGGGCGGTGCTCCGTGTACTCCAGAACCCTCTTCCAGAGTAAACCCGCTGTTGCCCACGTCCCCAGTCGTATCTTCAACCCTCTGGCCTTCAGACAGGGGGAGGTCTCCTGTGTACCCGCCGCATTCAGCAGGAAGGGCCTGGTCGCAACCGGACACCGGCGCGGTAGCCTTAGACCGAGCTATAAGGCGGGTCACAGGGTGCGGGTCATAGTACTCTCCGTATAGACCATGGCCGCAAGTCTTGCCGCCGTGTTCTTCACACTGTCGACATCTCCTACAATCCCTCGGTGTGTGGCATCAAGATGCCCTTGGTGCAATGCATTTAGGACAAGGGCAGTGCGATTCGCACTTTCTACACACGTGAGACGAATTGTGAGGGCACCGGGATATCCTTCCTGATGAGGTAGTCGTGACGAACGAACACCTCGCCATCGTAGTAGCTTTAAATAGTCAAGTCTGCCTACGGAAGCAGCGACTGTGGGTAAAGCACGCGTAGTTGTTGGTATGGTCGAAAGTTTCGACTACAGTACACAGTAGAGCAAATGTTTCTAGTCGAAACATTTGAACAACTTCCAAAATATTTTACATATGTTTTCTCTTTTCACAAAATAATATTTTGGGCCGTGTTTGAAGCGAAAGAAAGTGACGAAATTGAATTGAATATTGCATGCGGGAATGCTGTTGCCCAGCATCACCCTCTGCATGCCATGCACACGGCACAAGCGACGAGTCAAAATTTGAACTACATCTCCTTCCCGCCTACTCGCCGGCAGCAAATGCTTTTGGGTTCCTTGTCCGTTCCAAGAAAGACCGGGTTACTGTTTCCACTCTCACTACTCCCTTGCCCGCCCCCGACGCTGCGGGCGTCAAGGGAGTCTGCAGCTCGTCTTCTACGAAATGGACAGCGGGTTAGGCGGCCTCTATGCGCCGATCAAAACGGAGCCGCTGGAAGACGAGGCGGACACCAAACCGCGCCCACTGAAGCGGACGCGTTCCTTCGGCTCTGACCCGTTCTCCGCGGACGAGGAGCGCTCCATCTGTCAAAAGCTGGACGTGGGGCTATCGCGGCAGGAGACGATGCAGCGGCCCGGCCCCGGCGGGTCGCGGCTTACCTACATCGAGGGGTGGAAGGTGATCCACGACGCGAACCAAA